CTAATTATATTTTAGATTTTTTATATTTAAAATGAGATGTTTATCTTGTATTTGATTATGTTTATTTGCAATTAGTTACACGAATTCAGATATAGAGCTTTAATAAGTTGTACTTACGCACAATCTACTTGTAATCTTGAGTTTTAAATAATATGCATTAATAAACAGTACTTTATGCATAAAAAAATGGTTTTTAAGAATTTTTTGCCAAATACTTTATAATATAGTATAGATTTATATTTCCAAATCTTTTTTCCACTACTAGAAAATTGGGCATCAATGACGGAAATTAGCGACGGAAAAAATCTCTCGCTGAACTGGTTTTTGGCCATTCCCTGATCCCTTACAGATCAGCGAGGAAACTGGTTTTTTACCATTCCCTCACTAATTAAGACAACAATGAAAAAAAAAAACCAAACATCTTAAATATGACTTGAAAATATCGTTTCATCGTCCACATGGCTTGCAAAAAAAGCGCCTTCAATCCAATGTTACATATTATTGTATCACTATGTTTTCGTGTATGTGATATTGAGAGAAATATTTTTGACGAATATTTATTAAAAAATAACCATTATGACCCAAATAAACAGAAAATGCAACAAAAATTCAATCAATAACCTTCCTTTCCAATTCCACCAATCTGGTTCAGTTTACCACCCTACAATCTAACCTAACCTCTTGCCCACCACCACTGATGCTGCTCATTTTCATCATCGACTTCACAAATGCTTTCTCAAATTCTTGTCTCGACTTAGCAAACTTTGACACCAATGCTTTAGTGTTTGCCATAGTGACCAACGACTGATCAGAAGAGAAAATGCTCTTGCCTTGTAGAAGTAACTTGTAATATCTGTTGTCGAACCTAGTTGGCGTCGAGTCAAGATTCGCCCCCGCGTTTTTTACGGTGTTTTGTGCCGGACAGACCCTCTTTAAACCGGCTGCAAACGATGATTCGAGTGTTGGGTCTATGCTTTGTTTTGAAGCAAAGTTGTGTATCCTGTTCTGGAACGACGAGCAATGAGCGAACCCGAGTGTATGCCCTCCTGTATACACATAGGTAATTCGACAGTCTTACGGTTTATAGGCACGTTTTAGATGTAAGGTTTGGTTAATTACCCAAGAGTGCAACTAAATCTTCCATGGAAAGACCTCTCTGCGAAAAACTCTGTTGCAACTGGGAAATGTTGAATGTTGGAGCTGGTAACTGTCGTGTTTCTGTTGCTTTCGAAATTCTTCCATCCTTTCTTCCTTTCGGCACATCCCATGTCGGCCCTCCAGACTGCATTCCAGAAATCCCGAATCTTAATTAACATCATAATACGTAAAACGTGTAACGTGTAACTTGTCAAGAAGAACGTTACTGACCAAAGTGACCGCATCCCTTGCTGCTAAGGCCAAGATATCAGCACAAGAGACGGTTTTAGGACACGCAGCCTCTACTGCTTTCTTGGCATTGTCGATCACGTAGAATGCGTGCAGAGATATGTTTGGAGGTCCGTCTTTCTCAGCTTTGTTGTTCCCAGTTGAATTCAACAGCACAGAAGCATCACACCCCTTCAAAATACAAGAGTCAATAATCAGACAACATAATGTAGTAAATCTGCAACTGTTACTTGTAACTTGCCCCCTTTGACCATCATTCAGTTACATATGACACAAAAAATACAAGTTTTGTGGTAGAACAGTAGTCACCCTGATGAAGCAATCATGGAAATGCATCCTGAGAAGTGCAGCAGGGACTGTTCGGTCATTCGACATGGCTTTCTTCACGACACGTGTAACGGTTGATTCGGCCTGCGGGCATGTTTGGTCGTAGTAGTTAGAACTCAGTGCGTTGATCACGTTAAGACGGGCTACTCCTAACAATGCTAGACCGAAAAGAAGTGACGAAATGGTGTTCTTGGCTGCCATTGTTGGAAGCAAAGTGGTTTTAGCTGATGTTTGGATGTGATGACTGATGAAGAAGATGGAGAGAAAGTTTGGGTATTTGTAAGGAAAAGGATAAGTATTCATGCATGAAGGTGTTAGCAAATCAGGTGAGCTGAACTCTTTATTGTAATAATGCTTCATACAAAAGCAATAGTTGTTGAGGGTTTCTCTAACAAAAGATAATGCTTTATATATATATATATATATATATATATATATATATATTAACCTGGATATTCAACCTGCTATGCGAGCCGATTAATTCCAGAACGACCACCTGTTTTGCGGGTAGTTTGGAGTCACCGTATTTGAACATCCGTAGTCACAAGGGGATTTTTATTCTTCCTTGGATTTGAACATGAGACCTCCGGGTACTCTTGACCTTTGGAGCTTAAGTTCAAACCAATCAGACACCACTCTTGTGATTAATGTGAATAATTTTTCGGTATAGCTTTCATAATTTATTGGTTCTGTGTATCATTAACCATTCTTTTTGGGTTAATCCGCCTGCCTAATGGATCTTTTTAGCGTTTGAGTTTATTTATGAATGAAACCGTCCTGGAATTGAGATATTATTTAATTAGAAAGATGACCCCCGGATGCATAAGGCCTCTTTGGGGTAATCTCGTAGTTACTGCATGGGATCCTTATATACATACATACATACACACACATATATATGTATATACATATATACATACATACATAGGGTTGGGTTCATGTGAGACCAAAGGTTTTTCGTGAGACCCGTAAGACCAATTGATGTTTATTGATCAACTTTATAAGCTAATGATCTAATGGTCTAAAGCTGCACGATGATAATTTTGTGATTATTGAGAAATCTCATGGCAATTTTGTGGTTATGAATGTTCAGATTGTAGATCTAATCCAAGGGTTGAGAATTGGTCTTACGGGTCTCACGAAAAACCCTTGGTCTCACATGATCCCAAATCTATATATATATATATATATATATATATATACACACACACACAATGATTAGGTTCGTTAATTCGATTAAATGCTAGTTGTAATTTTTACTTCATTTTGGTTTTTGTTTTCTTGAATGAGAGTTTTGGTGGGTTAGGTGGAATAAATTTGGTGTGCAGAACAGAGCAAAAAAAAGAATTGAGTTCGTTAAGATTGGTTCAAGAAATCAACCACTCTATTTAAGAGTAGATGAATGCAACCATTGTTTGTTGTGGATCGGTCAAAACTGCATCGAACCGCAACGTACTTTGTTCTTATTCTTATGTTGGTTAATACAACTTTAAAAAGCAGGCCATATGTTGGCCTGTAGTATCACATCCTCATGATGTTTGCCGGAGTAAGAGGCCGTTTACTAAACACTTACCTTGATAAGTGCTTACTGGTTCAATTACTTTACCAAATGAGCACCAGAAATCTTACCCGGTAGGAGGGAAGACAATGATCGAAAGTCTTACCCAGTTAGCAAGTCTGATGACTCTTATCCGGTTAGAGGGAAGATAACGATCCCTAAACTATAGAAAATATAGCATTCTAATTAATTTCATAAATAAGTTTATACGGGTCATATCACGACAAAACATGAGGCTTTTATCGATGGAATAATCTGCAGGTACAAGCCATCATCGACGGATTACCAAAAGAGGTCTTAAGGATCTTTAGGTTCTATATATTCTCACATGGTATCAGAGCAAGATCTGCCACCCTAGAGACCTGACTTTCTAGCTAGCCCCCTCTTGACACTCTGGGACAATGTTCCCATCTAGCTTCCGTTGGAGAGGGCGCATTGGAGTCCCACATCAGCTAGACCTAGACCATTTTTCTTGTGCACGTATTGAAACCTCTCATTTCTTCTAAAAGGCTCTTTAGGAGAGTGATCTTTCAATTGCAACACCAAATACTAGATTGACGTTGATGTTTTTTTTTTTTTTTTAATTAACCTGGATATCCAATCCGCCATGCGAGCCGACTAATCCCAGGCCACCTGCTTTGCAGATAGCCCGGAGTCACCGCATTTGAACCTCCATGGCCACAAGGGGATTTTTATTTCTTCTTAGATTTGAACCTGAGACCTTTTGATACTTTTGATCTTTGGAGCCAAACTCAAACCAATCAGACACCACCCTTGTGGTTAAGATTGACGTTGATGTTACAGTAAGTTATTAGACTGAAGTTACACGATCTGACAACTTATATCGACGAAGTTGGACGGTTTAATAAAACATATATACGAAATAAATTACAATTAAAAAAGAACACATCACACATTAATTTGCAACCATCAATTGGTTTGAATCCTCACAAAATATTCCCAAATCTGAACAAAAACTACGAAATCAGATCAATTTACCAGTTTGCAATCCAATCTAACCTCCTGTCCACCAGTTAAGCTGCTCATTTTGATCATGGATTCCACAAAAGCCTTCTCAAATTCATCTCGCGAGTTCGCAAACTTTTCGACCAACGTCGTGGTCGTTGGGTTGGCGAGTAACGATTGATCGGAAGTGAATACGCTCTTCCCTTCGAGAAGTAATCTGTAGTATCTGTTGTCGAAGACGGTAGGGGTTGAATCTAAATTCGCACCTGCGTTTCTCACCGTGTTATGCATTGGGCACACGCTGCGTAAGCCGGCTGCAAATGATTGGTGCAACGATGGATCGACGTCCTGTGTGGTGGCGAAGTTGTGGATCCGGTTTTGGAACGAGGAGCAATGAGCGAACCCGAGCGTATGTCCTCCTGTGTTCATTTGTACAGAAGCTTAGTTTCTTGATTATGGACTTCATACTAAAATAAAAATTGGTTTAAAATTGGTTTTACAGGACACCTAAATTGTCTAAGCGTCTTACTAGAATATTTTATAGAACTTAGGCTTATAGGACCAAACTATAAAGCGTTATATCTAAAAGCATTATAAGACATTTTTAGGCGTTTTAACAAGTTTTTAAGATGCTTTTAAAATAAAGTGTCCTATTAACTATTTATAAGACACTTTTGAGAAGCGTCCTATAAACCCATCATTTTATAGGACACATGTATAAAATAGTAAAACGACACAGTATTTTGAAATCGTCCTAGAAAACTTGTTCAAACGCCTAAAAACGTCCTGTAAACCTATTGCAACACTTTTAGATAAGACGTTTTTTTTGGTTTGGTGCTATAAACTTAAGTCCTATAAAGTATTTCTTTTAAGACGCTTCCACATTTAGGCGTCCTATAAAATCAATTTTGTTGCGGTGCGTCAAACAAGTTAGAACTTGTACACAAATCACTACAACAAAATTGGGTTTATAGGACACCCCCAATCTCTAAGCGTCCCAATAGACCGTTTTATGGGACTTAATTTATAGGACAAAATATAAAACGCCCTATCTAAAGGTGTTGTAATAAGTTTATATGACGCTTTTGGGCGTCTTAACAAGTTTTTTAGGACATTTTTAATACAAAGTGTCGCATTAGCAACTTTATAGGACACTTTTGAGAAAGTGTCCTATAAACTCGATTTTTAATAGGACATTTGTTTTTATAGGACAGTTTTTCAAATAGTGTCCTATAAAGTTGATAATGAGACGTTTTATATTAAAAGTGTCATAAAAAACTTATTACGACGTCAAAAAACGTCATATAAACTTATTACAACACCTTTAGATAGAACACTTTATTTTTTTTGTTCCTATAAACTAAGTCCTATAAAAAAGTATATTAGGACACTTAGAATTGGGGAGTGTCCTATAAACCCGATTTTGTTGTAGTGAATAGTTTGGATTTCACCTGAGAGTGCAACCAAATCTTCCACGGAAAGACCTCTTTGGGAAAAACTTTGCTGGAGTTGAGATATGTTGAAGGTCGGAGCCGGCAGTTGTCGGGTTTCAGATGCTTTTGAAACCCTGCCGTCTTTTCGCCCTTTCGGCACAGCCCAATACGGACCTCCGGACTGTAGAAATACGATTACGGTTAGTCCCATTTCGTTTCGTTATGTTTCCCGGTGATTACTAGTAAAAAAACGCACTCATTTGGTATTAGAAAACCAAATGTCTCCAAAAAGATTCAGGTATTTGATCAAAGGGCCTTTGGCCTAACAGTAACCGAGCCTTTGGCCTCCCAGGAGGGTTCAGACCTCACCGGATGCGAGTAGAGTGTGTGGGTTTATTTGTTGCATTTACTGTATTTGATGTGCCATTGTGCGATAAACGAATATGAGCTTTACCAAAACAACTGCATCTCTTGCTGCTAAAGCAATGATATCGGCACACGACACAGTACCAGGACACATAGCCTCTAACGCTTTCTTGGCATTATCAATGACGTAAAACGCGTGAAGCGATATGTTTGGAGGACCGTCTTTCTCCGCTTGATTCTTCGCGGTCGAGTTCAACAACACCGAACCATCACATCCCTTCAAAACCAAAAACACCCATGATCAGGTACACAATATGGTCTTTGAAGTTTTATAAAGTGTCATATTAACTATTTTATACGACACTATTTGAAAAAGTGTCATATACAGGATCTTTTATTTAAAAGTGTCCTAAAAAACTTGTTAAAACGTCTAAAAGCATTCTATAAACCTATTGTAACGCTTTTACACATGATGTTTTATATTTTATGGTCCTGTAAACTTAAGTTCTATAAAGTATTCTATTAGGACACTTAGACAATCTACGCTCCCATAAAAAGCTAATTTTTTATAGCGCGAATCGTTTCGACCACTACCATCTAAACAAAATGAGTTATAATGAATAGGGCTGTACACGAACCGAACGAACACGAACAGAGGCTTGTTCATGTTTGTTCGTTTAACTTAACCGAACAAACAAACGAACGAACGAACACGAATAGTAAACGAACGAAAATCTTTGTGTTCGTGTTCGTTCGTTTAGAAATCAGGTGTGTTCGTGTTCGTTTATGTTTGTTCGTTAACATGCTAAACGAACGAACATAAACGAACGGGCTAAACGAACATAAATAAATAGTATTTGAATTCAAAGTAAATAAACAAAAGATTATATATTAAATTTAGTATATGAACATAAACAAACTTTAAACGAACGGTAAATGAACAAACGTTCACGAACATAAATGAACGAACGAGACTCTTGTTCATGTTCGTTCGTTTAACTAAACGAACAACAAAATTTGTTCATGTCCGTTCATTTATTAAATAAACGAACATAAACGAACATAAACGAACTTCCCGCCAAATAGTTCGCTGAACGTTCGGTTCGTTTACAGCCCTAATAATGAAGCAAAATAGAGTGAAAATGGATTGAATTTTACCCTAATGAAGCAATCATGGAATTGCATTCTGAGAAGTGCAGCAGGAACTGTTCTGTCATTCAGCATGGCTTTCTTGACAGCATTTGCAACAGCTGATTCAGCCATGGGACATGTTTGATCATAGTAGTTAGAACTTAATGCATTAAGCCCATCAACATGGATTGCTGCTGCAAGCACAAGAACACCTACAATAAGTGAACACAGATTGTTGGTTGCCATGTCTGAACACAAAAAGCTCTCAGTTTCTTGTTTCTGATGAGGAAGATTGAGAGAAATTCTGAGTTTTAAAGGGTTTTTTGCATGGTGGTGTTTGTGAATTAGGTTGATGATGGTGAGTTTGGTGATGCTTAATGGGTTCGTTAGTATTCTTCGTTTAATAACTTCAACTAATACAATAGATTTCAAAGTGATTTGTTATACAACGATACTACCTTATACAACCAGATTTATCAAAAGTCTTAAAAAACAATTTTTAATGCACAAAGTATTATACATTTATGCACAAAGTCTTATAAATAACTCATGATGCATTACGTAGTATTACTTTATGCATTTAGTTTTAAAATCTCTTAATCTACAATTAAAATAATACTAGTTGTGTACCCGCGTAATGCGGCATGAGCCATGAATTTTAACGATTTTAAAGTTCCACTGGTTTTATAAGATAAGATTTAACGATGATATAAGTTACACTTGGTCATTACATATTAATATAATTTGAATAAATAAGAGTTATGGTTTCAATTACAGACTATCGATGAAAAAAAATTATGACAGTTTAAAATCCAATATATTTAAAATCTAACATATTTAAACGACTCCATAAATGTATTCGATTTACATCAAGAGCAAAAAACCAATAAACTTGAGTTTTAAGATAAACACTCAAAACCAATAAAAAAAACTACAAATTTGAMAGATCATAAGCCATGAAAAGACAAAAAAATATGGGTTTTAAAATGAAATTTCAACTGCTTACCCTCTTTCTTGTTCAAAAACTCAGGTTAAGGTTGAATTAATACATACATACATACATACATATATATATATATATATATTTCAAAAAAACCCAAGAACATATTAATTCAGAAGATATTATACAGTGCAATTTGAACAGCCTAACCTCAAAATATATAGTATATATATATAAATAAATAACTATAAACGTATAAATCGTAAATATTAAAAATATTTTTTTCACAGTATATATAATATATAATAATATAATTAAGTCAAAAATTATTCAATATTGGACTTATTTCGAAGGTATTAACGAGACGATTATAATGGTACAACTTGTTAAAATAAAAATATATTTTTAAACATGTTTTAATTGATATACGATTATGTATGTTAATTTGATACATGTTTAAAATGAAACATTTAAAAGTAAATGATGTAAAGTAAATTAATTAATCAATTATAGGTGTATAAAGTGTAAATTTAAAATTATAATTTTAAAAAAATTGGTTTAATGTGAGAGGGTGAGTGTATGTGAGAGGAGGAGGGGATGAAAAAGTGAAAAAGTGAGGTAAGGGTAGTAAAAAGGGTATCTTGGTCATTTAGTATTTTAAGACTTTAAGACTTTTACTAAATTTGCTTAATAAGATAGTATAGATATGGATATAGTGCAAGTTACCAATGCATATCATTACTTTTTCTCTTCATGTTCACAAGATACTTTTGACATTTTTTACTCATGACTTCACCTTCTCATACCTCTATGCCTTCTCCCCATCCCCCATTGTGAGATTCAAACTGATATTCACCGTGAGTTATTAAAAGTTCTCACATTCATCTCCCTTTCAATTGCTCTAGAACTCTCGGTCTCGCTCTCGATCTCTTGATTCTTTGCTCTTGGTGTAAATCGAACACATTTGTGGAGTCTTTTAAATATGTTGGATTTTAAATATATTGGATTTTAAACTGTCATATAATTTTTTTTATCGATAGACTGTAATTGGAACCATAACTCTTATTTATTCAAATTGTAGTAATATGTAAAGACCAAGTGTAACTTACATCATCGTTAAATCACTCTAATAAAACCAGTAAAACTTTAAAATCGTTAAAATTCACGGCTTCCGCCACATTGCGTGGGTACACAACTACTAATTCTATTAAAATACAGCTTCTAAATCGCTAAAAGGTGAATCTTGTTTGACAAAAAAAAAGTTTGTCTCTAAATAGTTTTAAAACCCTCTGAATGATTTTGTATCTTGAGCCTCACTTAACCATTCAGCACCCTAATTCCATTATAAACAATACCAAACAATTACATTTTATTTTGCACTGTAGCATGAGAACTTCTTAATCATTTTGACCACTTAACTATTCTGCACCAAACATTCAGCAAATGTCATCCCCTTACATGTTCAGTTCATGTGGTTGCATGTTCTCAACCTAAAAATTTAACGGATCTTGTTCTTATGTTTGTATTTTTATGATCTGGGTCTCTGTCACTAACTTCCGTCAAAAGAATCTGTTAAGATAAGGATATTTTAGTCTTTTTAGCTTATTAACTCGAGTTAATTAGTAAACACATTATATTAATTATATATTATTAATTTAACACCTATCCTCCTCGAGGAAGAAATGACCCTGAGTCTGGTGGTAAGGAGTTTCACGCTGATCTGTTTTAATTATATTATGAAATGTTGTAATCGACTAATTTTTTAATATATCGTTTTTGATCATTTTACGTATATCAAATAACGTATCAATTAGTTTTTGTCAAACGTAAGTAATTTATCAACTAGTTTACCAAATATAACATAAAAAATACTGATTCAGGGGATCAAAAATCTCCCAAAATACTGATAGATACATATAAGATGTTAACCCATCAAGGATAAATTGGTCATTTTATCAATCATATCATGTCTTGTACTGTCTTACCAAGCACTGAACATTTGTTCTGTTTTATCATGTCTTGTCTTAAATACCGAACCGGATTTTTTTTTGATTAACCTGGATATCCAACCCGCTATGCGAGCCGACTAATCACAGGACAACCACCTGCTTTGCAGATAGCCCGGAGTCACCGTATTTGAACCTTCGTGACCATAAGGGGATTTTATTTCTCTTTGAATTTGAACTTAAGTCCTCCTAATACTTTTGACTTTTGAAGACAAACTAAAACCAATAAACACCACCTTGTCGTTAATTTTTTTTATTATAATAATAATGTAATGGTTCTTTTGACCTGTGTGTATGTTGTTCATCCGTCACCGACAAATGTGTGGGCCTTTTTTTAGTACACAATGGACGACCATTTTTCAGTTTTGCAAATAATAAACGTGTTTTAAAGCATTTCATATGAAAATATACCAATTTTTAGATTTATTTTTGGGAAAATCATCAAAATAACCATTTTATATATAATATATTAATAAAATAATCATTTTTTAATAATTTTATACAACATAACCATTAGGATCACCCCTGGGGTGATTTGCCAACATGGCGGTGATTTGGCCAAAAAAAATACGCAAGGGGTCCCAAATCATATACATGTGGGACACGTTACCAGTGGTGGATCCAGGATATTGGTCTAGTGGGGGCACCTTTAAGGTAGCTTAAACGCCCACAAAGTCGTCCAATGTGTTTTTAGCCTTATTCCACTATTCCAAGAGATTTTTGAAGTTTTTTGGATTATTTCGAAGGATTTTTAAGGGGGTTTTTTTTATCAATTTCGAGGCACTTTTCAGTTTTTTGGTTGATTTCAAGATACTTTCGTTAGTTGGTGGGGGCCTAACAAGAAATTACGGAAGAAAACCATGGTAGAAATTAAAAAAAATAACTTTTACCCTTAGAAAATTCATTTTTTTTAATTTTTTAATGGGAGCCTTTCCCCCCACCTTTTACAAGGTAGATCCGCCCCTGCACGTTGCATACTTTTTTTTTTGGCCAAATCACCCCATGTGGCCAAATCGCTCTCGGGGTGATCCTAATGGTTATTTTGCAAATAATAAACGTGTTTTAAAGCTTTTCATATGAAAATATATCAATTTACAGATTTATTATTGGGAAAATCACCAAAATAACCATTTTATATCTAATACATTAACAAAATAATTATTTTTAACAATTTTATACAAAATAACTACTAGGATCACCCCGAGGGCGATTTGGCCAAAAAAAGTACGCAACGGGTCCCACATGTATATGATTTGGGATCCCTTGCGTACTTTTTTTGGTCAGTCAAATTGTCCCCATGGGCGATCCTGGTGGTTATTTTGTATGTAATTGTTGAAAAGTGGTTATTTTGTTAATGTATTACGTATAAAGTTGTTATTTTGGTGATTTTCCTTTGATTTTTTTTTTCCTAGATTCTCTAAACTTTTGGAAGAATTTATTAGGGGCGAATATGATACGGTATCATATTTATTTCCTTATATTGTTGTCTATCATTCAATTATAATTAATACGTAAAAAATTTATATCATGTACCAACCAACTATACTTGGTAGAAACAAAATTGGTACTAATTTTTTTTTCGGTTGGTACAGTTTTGTAGCAACGTCACAAAAATTGAATTCTAAATTTCTTTACATTGACATTTGTAGGAGCGAGATCTAGATGCAATAGAATCATCAGACATTCAAATAACATGTTGATATGAGTTGTACCAGTTATGCCTGCTTACACAAGATTCAAATAACCTTTATTTAATATAAGCATTCACTAATAATCTATTTTGAGCGGATGCATCTTTAGGGTGAATAAATATCCATTAGTATGAATTGACATTTTTGTGAATATTTCGGAAATAGCATTGTAAGACCTGAGTTAATGCTGAAATATCTGATTGCATTTTCCAACTGAAATGAAAAATGACTACTGAAATTGCATTGTACATCCAGAATAGTCCTAAAAAGACATGGTCACAAGCCGATACTTAACGTGTCCCCCCTACGTGACCTCTTGCATATGGGGTGACAACCCAACAATCTCACACGTTTTAATTTTCATTATAAATTTCGTTTCAAATATTTAAAGGCACCTCTCAAAATCAAGCAGATGCACCTTTTAGAGACCCAGATAAATTTCTCTTACAATTACCAAGCAAGCAGATACACAAGAGCTCACTCAGCTTCTAATAAACCCGTTGGCCGTTGCCGACTCCTACGACCTACATTCTAAATCTTCAGACTTAAAGACTTGTATAAGTAACCAGTTTGTTTTTGTAAGACCCATAAGACTACTTTTTTACACTTGAAACTTTACAGCAAAACACTGTGAAGATAACATTCACAACATTTTTGCTGTGAAGGTTCAGATTTTTTTTACCTTCACAGTGTTTTGCTGTAAAGTTTCAAGTGTAAAAATGTGGTTTCACGAGTCTCACAAAAACAGACCGGTCTCACGTGAACCCAACCCTAAGTAACAAAATTACAAATTTATCATTTATTTAACGATTTAAAACATATTTCTTGACATTTACATGAATTTTGCAATATATTGCTTACAAATTCTATAACAAACATAATTAAATAAAATACAATAAAAGTTTTATTTTGTTTTAAATAAGAAAACGTATTTCGTTACAATCATTAATCACCAAACTTGCATGAATATATAAAATATATATATATATATATATATATATATATAAATATATAGAATATAAATATATATATATATATATATAAATATATAGAATATAAATATATATATATATATAATATAATATAAATATTAAAAACGGAGAGAAGAATCCCAAATCTCCGACCGGCGGGCTGCTTCCACAAAAAGAGTAAGCACGCCGCTGCCACCATTCATAAACCCTAAACCCGGTTTATTTTCAGAACTGAACCCGGCTTGCAAACGTCTGCCCGAATCCCCAATTCGCCGGAACAATATTGTTGAAAGTTCTGATGACACCGTCGGTGGTCGTCACCTTGAACGACATCGATTGACCATTCAGATACGAATTTGATTGCCAATTTGCTCCCCAATTTCTTGACATTGCCATCCATCCAGTTCTCGATCCTTTCACCTGCACCGACCGAATCGATCCAGCGCCTCCGATGTTGCTTATCATAACAAGCTCGAAGTAATCTCTGCCGTTAATGGTGAACCTCACTCCGCCGCGTTTCTTACACGGAACTCTGAAAGAAATCGTCAAAACAGAATCGTATTAAGATCGATTTCTATAATCGGAATCGGAATTGGAATACGAGAATGAAATTGGACCTTTGGTAGATAATCGGGATGATTCCGCCTCTGTAGATTCCGATTTTCTCCCAAGCGGGTTGCGCCATGTCGAAATGTTGGCGAGGTGGGTTGCACCATCCTCCGTCGTCGCTAGGCTGAGCGAAATTTGGGGGGCAGAAGTTTGTGGCGGTGATTGTGACGGAGACGCCTTTTTTGCACCACCGTGGGTCGGTTTTGTAGTCGCAGATGATTTTGTAACATTGGCCGCAGGCGGCACCGTCGTTGAAAAGGGCGGTGCTAAGTGCAGCAGTGCGAGTGCCGTATTTGGTTGCGTACAAGTTTCCATAACCACAAGCACCACCTTAACAAACCAAAAAAGATAAGCAGTTTTATACATATGACTGAATTCATACAGAAACTTTATTTATACAATAATAAGTCAATAAATTGTTTATCCAAATACATAAAAGTGTTTATTACCGGTACCACATTGAAATAAGTCAATAAGTTGTTTTTATAAGCAATCCCAAACACCCCGTGAATGGTAAACTAACCAAACAAATCATACTATTTTGGGGTTTTATTGTAGTTCTTAAATTGTTGAATTGACAATAATACGATCAAAAAAATGTGTAAAAACGAGGTTCTTATAAGTCACTCCATTGGAGATGTTATGGATTTTTTAGAACTCGTTTCTCGATTCTAGTGTGTCTTAGAAAATCTTTACCGTATGGATAAGTTCACTTAATTATTCCGTTTAGCGTTCTCTCTTTAACAACTTAACATGGTTCAAAGCTTGCTTTGAGATCGAATCGATTTAGATTCATCATTATTCAGTTTATGTTGTTTTACAAACAATACAGATATTACTGAAATTGAGAATGGGTGTGTGTTGATAAGGGTAAATAGGTAATTTTATGTTATATTATATAAAAGTTGTAATTACATTTAATGTTCAAATAAGATGAAATTATTTAAGTAATTAAAACACCTTTTAATATAACAAAAATAAAAATTGATAAATAGTTAAATTAGGGTAAAAAATTTATTTAAAAATGCTTTTTTTAAAACGAATAAAGCACTTTTCCCAAGAAAAAAAGGGATAAAGCACTAACTTTCATAGAAAAAGTCATAAATACCTTCCAAGTAAAATCATTGAAAATAATACATGCATTTACTTATGCAATACAACGAGATACATCTTGATTTTAATATTTTATTTATTTTTTATCTCAGTCGATGTTATAATATGGTCGTATGTGATTTTGAGAAAACGATGATATTTTTATTTTTAAATAAAATATAAGTTTAAAAATATCATAAAAATTTGATAAAAATATATCGATATTAATATCTATTTTTTTTATAATTTAATTTACGTACAATAACGAAGTAATTTAATTTTGGTCTAATAATATAATTTTTTATAAAGATAATAACTAAGCATTCTGTTAGTTATCAATGATTATCATAATTATATTTTAGATTTTTTATATTTAAAATGAGATGTTTATCCAATATTTGATTATGTTTATCTGCAGTTAGTTAGACGAATTTAAGTATGAAGCTTTAATAAGTTGTACTTATGCACAATTTACTTGTAATCTTAAATTTTAAGTAATATGCATCAATAACAATACTTTGTGCATAAAAAATCGTTTTTAAGAGTTTTGTCAAATGTTTTATAATATAGTATAGATATAAGGATGTATCTATCTACCAAAACTGTCAAATCTGTAATTCAACTATAAGATATATATGTTAGCACGTATGCGTGTGTGTGTGTGTGTGTGTGTATATATATATATATATATATATATATATGTGTGTGTGTGTGTGTGTGTGTGAAAGAGATAGAGAGAGAGATTAGGTTCCGATGAGAATAACGTAATTTTTTTCATGAGACAGTGAATATATTGTTATACTATGTAAAAGTTTATCTGTGATGATACATTTATCTTATGGGAAGGTTTGTACCGGGTACTGTAAAGATACATTAATAGTGTGTGAAGGTTTGTAACGAGTATTGTAAAGATATATTTATACTCTGCGAAAGTTTCTAATAAGAACTGTAAAGATACATTTATATTGTATGAATGTTACATCATTCATACAATGTAATGTAATATATATATATATATATATATATACACTGATATGAATGAAGGAATACATACCCATTGTTCCTGAAGCATCGCTGCCGCCGTAAAAAGTAGCATGAGCTCGAGTCCATCCCGAAGCAGTAAAACCATGGACACGGAGAAGAGGAAGAAGAAGAAAAGAGAGAAGGGATACAAAAAGGAAGGCAAGTTTTGCCATTTTTGTTACTTATGCAACAATGAAGATTGGGTGATGAATGATGAATGAATAATGATCCTGCAAAATGAATAGATGAAGAAGGGGGTTATATAGTGAACCAATCCAACATCATCACATGTGAATCTGCAAGTAGGGAATAGAGGAAATTAACTATTCACATAAATTTTATTTATTAATAAAATAGAATTATCTGTACACATAAATCAAGAAATTATTCTTGAATTTTGATTCAATTATTCCCATGTTCTATCCATCTCAACCTATGTACAGAAGATCCTTCATTTTCAATGGACCAATACTTCCCCAAATTGGATCCACCTATAATACTGTATACCAACGCCACGTGTCATCGTATTATTTCTTTGTCAAACAGTCAAAAGTTTAGGTTTGTAAAAGGTGCGAGATCATATTAATTTGTTGTGTGTCATCGTATGTATTTTAAAACTACGGTGAAAACAAATTTTATTTGGTATAGAATTGATTTGCAAGACTTTTATTCCACCTCAGACTCAAGTTCAATTCTTGTTAGTGTCATTTTCTTAGTCAATGGTGTCACCGTTTGAAAAAAATTCTGTATATTTTTGTTTCTTGTAGTCAAACGGTGTCATCGTTTGAAATTATTTCCCTATATATTTTTATTATAATCAAATGGTGCCACCGTTTGTAAAAGTTTCTGGGTCTGTATTCCTTCTTTTTAATTACTTTCTATAAAATAATAATTTTATAAAGATTTGAAATACGAATGTTGTCATTCGTATAAATCATACAAACCAACTTCAACTGTGTAACAACTCGTACTGTATAGATAGAGAATGGAATTCATAAGCTCCTTATAAGTGTTAAGTTGTAGACATTGTTTGAACATGCTTGCTGGTTGCAACAGCAGCCATGGCGTGCAGGGACGGACCCATAAGTTTTTTTAAATTGTGGCACCATTTGACTATAAAAAAAATATAGGAAAAAAATTTAAAACCGGTGGCACCGTTTGACTATAAGAAACAAATATATGGAAAAAAAATTCAAATGGTGGCAACATTTGACTAAGAAAATGACACTAACACGATTCGAACTTGAATCTGGGGTGAAATAAAAGCCTTGTAAACTAACTCTACCAAATAAAACTTGTTCTCATTGTAGTTTCAAATGCATACGGTGGCACACAACAGATTAATACAGTTGCACATTTCACGAACCTAATTTTTTTAACCATTCAATGGTATTCGTGAAATATTGATCTGTTGTGTGTTACCGTATGTATTTCTGTACAAATCATCATTGATAAATATTGATAATAATAATAAATGAATTTTTATCGTTTTCATAAATATATTAATTAATATAAATAACATGTTTTATATCTCTAAAATGCAAATATTGATCATGTAAAATATGTTGGTTGAAAATGTTGTAAATAATTCCTGTTTTTTGTTCTTTTCTAGAAAATTTCATTGTTTTCTCTGCACACATTTCAAAAATTGAGGTGTTCACAAAAGTGGTAACTCTATCATTTTAAATAATGGTCAAAGTTATATAGAGAGAGAAAGGGGAGCGATTAAATGAACAAAATGAAAAATTATGATTGATTGAATGAAGTTTTTACGGTTTTTACAAATTGAGTGGTTTTTATTTGAACTCATATATATATATATATATATATATGATTGATCAAATGAAAACCACCCTCATTTGTAAAAACCGTACAAACCACTCTCATACGTCGATTTCGTTGTTTAATCTTATGAAATTTTTTCATGAAATTGTTTAATCTTGTGAAATTGTTTCATATAATACTTTTTTTGATATCATAGTGTGTATCTTGTGTTCACATCAGGTTCATCAGAATAAGGTTGCCGGAGAGAGGAAAAATGAGAGATGAGAGAGAATATTTATAAAATCCCTAAAATGCCTTTTAATTAATATTTTAAGTTATAATTATTAAAATTATTACTTTCTTAATTTAACATTTGATTTGTGGTTGAGATTGGATCTCACGGTTACCACAAACAAAACAGTTATCATTTGATTATAATCATATATATATATATATGATTTCACCTTTTCGATCAATCAGGTATACTGCAATTGTTCTGTTTATTTGGAATGTTGTAAACGTTTTTTAATATTTGTCTGATGACTTTTAACCCCATTTGACTCGTTTTAGCTAAAGTTAGTTATTCACTAATTTAAACGTATGAAAAGTAAAATATATAATTGAAACCGGGCATATATATATTTAATAAGTCGATATTCTGATTTATAGTTAAAACAAAAGTTATAACAAAAGGAATGTGAAAAGATGTTATAAATTACAAAACACAAACATTATATCCAAATTTTGGCAAATAAAATGGTTGAGATATATATACATATGATATATATATATATATATATATATACATATGCATATATTATATCTTAAATACACATGACCTATATGCATACATATGCATTAATATATATATATATATATTATATATATATATATATATATATATATATTGCTTAGAAGTGATATATAGATGGTTGAAGGTGGCAGGGTCACATGGGTATTAGTTTGACATTTTGTAGAGTGCCGGTGGCCAAGTCCTAAATATGCAAATGGAAATGGAAATGGAAATGCAACATGCAACATGTATTTGTATGTGGAATTCGTGTGTCAGGGATCATTTTTTTCTTCCCTACTTGTTTTTTTATTATTGAAAACATAAATACTCTTTTTCTCTTTTTATCCATCTATCTTTATATATATATGTATATATATATATATATATATATATATAGGTTGGTTATTATACTAACTCTTTACATTTGTACAACCAATACAACATAATCTCAACCGTCCATTTAACTTGATAAATATGTAATTTTATAGAAGTTTTGATTATAAAGTATTGATCATAATTAATGAACCTTATTCATCTTCCATAAATATTTAAATCATAATAAATGAACTCTCATCATTTCCATAAATATTTTAATTTGTTGGGTTGTATTAGTTGTACAAATGTGATGGGTTGTATGAAATAAACTCTCTCTCTCTCTCTAAGGTTTAATGGCGGGGACCTCATGGCCTCGTGGTCCACATTTTGTGAACCCTACTTGCCATACCTCATAAGCAAGCACCGGAAAAGACAACATATCCTCCCCTGGAATCGAACCCGGATGGGCACGCCCAAGGCAAGGCATTTACGGAAGGAGGTGGCCACTAGACCAAGGCCTAATGGTTTCTCTCTCTCTTTCTCTCTCTCTCTCTCTCTCAATTTGTATAAATAAAAACCACTCAATTTGTATAAACCGTGAAAACCACATTCAACCAATCATAATTTTTAATTTTGTTCATTTTTGTGTAATTATGAGAGGTTGATTAACCATTTTTATTGTGGAGGGTGTTAATCATGGATATTATCGTCTCCATTATTTTAATTTTAGAGAAATACATGAAACAGTTTCATTAAAATTTCATTAGATATTATATGAAACAATTTCATAACCATATATGAAACAAATTCATCAAAAAAAAGTATTATATGAAACAATTTCACAAGATTAAACAATTTCATGAAAAAATTTCATAAGATTAAACAATGAAATGTACTATGAGGGTGGTTTGTACGGTTTACACAAATGAGGGCGGTTTTCATTTGAACGCTCCTATATATATATATATATATATATATATATAAGTGAGTTATTATGCAACTCTTTACATTTGTATAACCAATACAACTCAATCTCAACCGTCCATTTAATTTGACGAATATGTAAAGTTTTGATTGTTTTCTAATATAAAGTATTGATTGTAATTAATGAACTCTAGTTATCTTTCATAAATATTCAAGTTATAATAAATGAACTTTTATCATTTCCATAAATATCTAAATTTATTGGGTTGTATTGTTTGTACAAATGAACATGGTTGCATTTGAAATATACCATATATATATATATATATATATAGAGAGAGAGAGAGAGAAAGAGAGGAGGTTTTCTTTGCAAACCATGTTATTTGTACAAACCGTACAAACCTCATTCAACCAATCATATTTTTCCATTTTCTTCATTTTTTTGTAATTATAAGAGGTTGATTAATCATTTTATTAAGAAGGGTGTTAATCATGGATATTATCATTTTCATTATATTAATTTTAGAGAAATATACATTAAATCGGTTTCATTAAAATTTCATAAGTATCATATGAAACAATTTCACAACCATATATGAAACAAATTCATCAAAAAAAGTATTATATTAAACAATTTCATGAAAAAATTTCATAAGATTAAACAATAAAATTGATGGATGAGGGTGATTTGCATGGTTTGTACAAATAAGGATGATTTGTATTTGATCGCTCTTCTATATATATATATATAATCAGACCACGGAATACCATTTCATCTTTATTGTTTCTTTCCCACCCAAAAATTTCAAATCAACTCTCACTAAGAACCCTAGACAACGTCGCCATGAAATTTCAAAACAGTAGCTGACAACACACCGTCGACCACTCAAACTTAGTCGATTAAGGAACGACTCACATGAAACGACTCGGTCTCCACCTGTCGTCGACCACTCACGACTCAGTCTCCTTAGTCGATTAACAACTCTCCACACTGGATCCAATCCAATAAGAATATGCGATGGATGAAATCGAACCGATCCAATCTTTCATTGGAAAAATCCAGCATCCAATGGATGATTGGATCGGTTCGGTTCCCCTCACATCCATTGGATGTCAACCGATAAACAGCCCTAATTAAAGGTCTTGTTCTCAAGTTCTCGACAATAAGTTCGTACGTCAATTTTACATTAATTCGAGCGGTCATTGTTTTATTTACGAGTGTTTGTATTAATTTTGAACGCTAATTTCGACATCAAACAAAAGAGTTCACATTCATTAACAAAAAAAGTAACATGTTTATAGTGTGAAAAGACATTATATTTTCAAAAGGTGTGAACTATTTTTATAATCAGTCATGTTTAATATTCTGTATTACAACCATGCAAGTATTGGGTTGGGTTCACGTGAG